GGGTAAGTGGGGGCCTTCAGCGCAAGGCTAATCCTGGCCTGGGTCTGCTGGTGGAGGCTGCAGTGTGGTTACATGGATGGTGAGAGGGATGGGGTGATAGCTCATGCTACCGATTGTGAGACAGAGAAAGGCTCAAGGAGATGCCTAGCCTAGTGATGGTAGGAGGAGTTGGGTTGTCTTATAGTGATGGTAGGAGGAGATGGGTTGTCTTATAGTGATGAGAGCGGGGCCAGTGCATAATGTTGATGGGAGAGAGATGGGGGGATTAACCATGAGCTGCCATCAGATATTGTGGTGTCGTTTATAAAACCACTGACAGATATACCCTCAACACAATCTCAACACAAGACATACCGACATATATACTGCTACATTCCCTCACATACACACACTCTGCTAAACTGCCATACATACTCTCACACACACACACAGATACACATTGTGAGACATACAAATAAACACACTACCATGCACACAGATACACACTGCCATGCCACAAACAGAGATACACTCCAAAAGCACACACAGACAGCACACCACGCAGATACAAACTGTCAAATACACACTGCCAGACACACACAGTTACCCCACTGATGGCAGCCCTGGAGATGCCTAATGGAGATGTAAGAGAGTGGATCTGATGTCTACTGGTGATAGGCGAGGGGATAGGTGATGTTTAATGGTGAATGAAGATCAGAGCGGGTGGGGGTGATGCGCAATGGTGATTGTTATCAACATAAGCATCACTTCCTCCCCCTCCCATCACCATTAGTCATCGCTCTCTCTCATCATTATTCATCAGTACCCTCCCTCTCACATCACTATTGGCCATCACCCACTCCCTCTCCCACCATCATTAAAGGGTCAATGTAACCATCACAACTTTGCATCATTGCGAAGTCGATGGTTAATAGAGTATTCTGTACTTGCTCTCAGGTGTGTGAGTGGCTTAGAACTACAGTGATTTGTGTAAATCACACAGCCATAAGCCGGATCCTCAGAACTATCTACAGAAACACAGGTAATGGATTCACAACTCCAGCAATTAAATAAAGAAGGAGTTTATTACCCCAGCACGTGAACTCGGCAACATTTCAACCCATGGAAAAGATGTCTGTCAAGCCAGACTTGGCAAACACTCCTTCTGTATGTCGAAACGTTGCTGGGTCCACGTGCTGGTGAATGAACTCCTTCTTTATTTAATTGCTGGTGTTGTGACTCCATTACTTGCTTCCTCCTAACCATCACTACTTGTGTGCAGGCACTCCTTATTTGTTTTTTTCCTTAGAACTGTCAGACAACATTGATATCAGTAAACTGTAATTGAGAGTTCCAGCTGTCTGATATCAATTTATTCCACATCGCCGCACGCACAACTTGGACTGAGCTCTCTCTCCTTCTGAGAGATTGAGAGCAGAGCTGTAGACCATACATGTATGGACTGTAGCTCCACTGATTGCTGCATGCAACATTCATAATGGTACTGAGAGAGGGATGGGGTGATCAGGGCTGCCATCAGAACTCATACACAACACTGAGTGGACTCCCACACAACACACTCTCTACCAAATACATACATAGAAACATAGAATGTGACCGCATATAATTTTCTAACAAATACATACACAAGCTTCCACGCACACAAACACATACATACATATATACTTGCAGAGACAATAACACCAAAACACACTAACAGTCGCATGCACATCTAAACACTGCCATACACATTCTTATACACAAATACACACTGCCAGACACATGTACAAATATACACTCACAGACACACATACAAATATACCCTGATGGCCTACTGATGGCAGCCCTGGAGATGCCGAATGAAAATGTGAGAGAGAGGGTCTGATGTCAGATTGTGATAGAGAAAGGAGGGGTGATGTCTAATGATGATCAGAGAGGGCGAGGTGACACCTAATGGTGATTATTATCAACATATGTATCACCCCCTCCTCCTATTACCATTAGACTTCACTCTCTCCCATCATCATTAATCAACATCCCTCCCTCTCACATCCCTATTGGCCATCACCCACTACCTCTCCCACCACCATTAAAGGGTCAGTTTAGGTACCATCACAACTTTGCAACATAGATGGTGCCTAGAGGTCTGTAAGTGGCTTAGAACGTCAGCGATTTCTTAAAATCACCCATCTTTAAGCCGGTCCCTCAGAGCTGCCAGTCGCCAGCTTGTACTCTTATTCCGTCCGCCTGATATCAAATTTGTCCACATTGGGCATATATAGACTCAGCTCCATCTCCTACCCAGAGATTGGGCCCACCTGTGCACTGCACATGCTCAGGCCATGGCTCAGCCAATCGCTGCATGCAGCAATCATAATGAAGGTGGGAGAGGGATATAGTGATCTGGGCTGCCATCAGAGAGTATACAACATCACTGACTGGACTCCCCTCGACACATTCTCCTAGACACATGCATACATAGCCTCCCATGTACACATACATACATACTCGCAGACACACATAAGCAGAAATACACACTGTGAGACACACACAAATACACAATGTGATACAAATACACACTAAAACACTGCCATACACACAAACTCACACAGACATAAGCTCTGACAGACACACATTCTGATACACACTGCCAGACAGATAGACACTAACAGACACACCCATACAGAAACACACTGTCAGACAGATACACACTGTCAGACACACTCATACAGAAACACACAGATACGCTCCTGATGGCAGCCCTGGAGATGCCTAATGAAGGTGTGAAAGTGAGAAAGTGATGCCTATTGGTGATGTCTTATGGTGATGAGAGAATGCAGAGGTAATGTGTATTACCCCTTCCCTCTCTCACCATCATTAGGCATCACCACCCGCCTCTTACATCACTCCTGGTCATTACCAACTTCTTCTCCCACCACCATTAAAGGGTCAGTCTAAGCACCATCACAACTTTGCGTCATTGTGTGTTAATGGTGAATAGATTACCCTGAACTTGCTCTCAGCTCTTAGAGTAATTTAGAACTGGAGAGATTTGTAAAAATCACACAGTTATAGGCCGGCCCCTCAGAGCTGTCAATCAGCAGTTTGTACTCTTAGTTCCAACTTCCTCATATCAATTTTGTCCACATTGTGCGTGTGGCTTGCTTATGTCACGTTCAGAATTCGGACTGAGCTCTGTCTTCTTCCCAGAGATTGAGAGCCAACTTGCCATGCACAGACTATGGCTCAGCCAATTGCTGCACTTAGCAATCTTAATGAAAGTGGGAGAAGGATGGGATGATCAGGGCTGACATCAGAATGCATACAACACCACCGACTGGGACACTTTCTCCCAGACACATAAATATATAGCCTCCCATGTACACACACACACACACTTACATATATATTCACAGGCACACAAATACAGTTACGAAATGTAAGACACACACATGTACACACTGTGAGATGCACAGAAATACAAAATTTGAGACACATGTAACCACAAATACATATTGCAACGCACAGAAATACACACTGCCACATCACACACAGATACACAGACTTACATAAAGACAGACACTGCCAGACACACATACATATAAATACCGTTAGATACACACTATTACACACACATACACACAGCCAGACACAGCCATACACATACACCCAGACACAGGAGATATCTAATTAAACTGTGAAAGAGGATCTGATGTCAGATGGTGATGGGAGAAAGGAGGGGTGATGTCTAATGGTGATCGGAGAGGGTGGGGGTGATGCCTAATAGAGAGTATTGTCAACAAAGGTATCAACCTCTCCTCCGCCCACCATTAGACTTCACTCTCTCCTATCATCATTATTTAACACTCCTCTCCTATCATCATTATTTAACACCCCACTACTGACCATCACCAACTTCCTCTCCCACCGTCATTAATGGATCAGTGTAAGCACCATCACAACTTTGCATCACTGCAATATTGATGGTGCATAGAGTCTATATCTGTGAGTGGCTTATATCTGCCATAAGCCAGCCCCACGGTTCTGTCAGTTGCAGCAATTGGAGTTCTCAATACTGGCCGTCTGATATCATTGTACTCTTCTTTGTGCATATGGCATGTACGAGCCGCAAGCACGTAGATTGTATGTACGAGCCGCAAGCAGAACTTGGACTAAGCTCTCATTACAGTGTTTGGAGGTGAGAAGAAATATGTCCTAACATGTACACTGTACTTTGCACCAAGACTATTTTATCTTGTTGAAGTAGTTCTGTTGCAGGGACTCACCTTCAGTCAGTTTTCAGATCTTATCTTTTGAGATTTGGAATTCCACTGGCTGTTAGATTGACATCCTGGTAAGGAAAATCCAATTTGTGTCTGTGACGTCCATACGACACATCCAACTTGAACTGGGATCTCTCTCCTCTGCCAAAATGTGCACACAGCCCAATTCATTAAACAGTGAGCTGGACTGTGTATAAACTGATAGCAATGGTGGTATGGCCGCTATCTGTATACAGAACAGTTCTGCTCATCATATGTGATGTTTGGAACTGATAATATTCTTATCCCATAAACCCAGGCTGGGTATAGTCCAAAATGAGATGCTCCTGATCGGAGCCTCTTCCTGCTCAAATAAGGGCCAGACCTGTAACTGCAGTCAGTCCCACTAAACCCAGCCTCTGCCGGGATCGTTCATGGTAAGTATTGCTTTTATTTAAATTTATTCTAATAATTATTTATTTCGGAGTTTATTTTTACAATATTAAAAGTTGGGGTAATTTTGGTAATATTATTTCCTTTTACTGCATTATCTATATCAGGGGTGTCAATGCAAATTTACCTGAGGACCTGTGGCAGAGGTGCCTTCTCATATGGAGTGCTGCTGATCTCTACTTACAGATCCAACCTCCTACACACATATAGATCCATACTTCCAGAAACACACACAGATCCACAGTGACTGACAAACAGACGCACACCCAGGTACACAGATAAATGGTGCCATACCATATAGACGCACACTCGCAGATAAACTCATACATACAAACACTCATGGATACACACAGACGCAGATCCGTGCTCCCAGACACATTCACAGATTCCCAATGACACACACTCACAGACACTCACAGACATTCACATACACACAGATCTGAGGGCACCACTCTGCAATGCTGGTCAGTGGATTAGCAGCTCAATTAAAAGACTGGCAGTTGCCAGGTGTCCAGTGTCTAACTAGACAGTCTGTAAATTATGTTGCCAGCAGTTTATCTCCTACACGGGCTGCAAGAAGTTGATTGGGGACAACACGTGGTCCATCGGCCAGTGGTTTGAGACCCCTGTTTTATATAATGCAGTAAAAGGAGGGACATTTTCCACCTATGGTTTCTCTTTAATCAGCCATCGCCCCTTTCTCTCCACTCACCATCCGGCTCCTCTCCTATACGTTAGTGATGGGAGTAAGAAAGGATTTCATGGAGCCTAACGTTAGCGGTGGGAGAGGAAAGGCTGCCTAATAGTGATGGGAGAGGGAGGACTTGATTCTTAATGGAGCTGAGAGAAGGAGGGGAATGTTTAATCATAATGGAATAGGGAGGGTTGATGCCAAATGGCGATGGGAAGGAGAGTGATGCCTTGTGGTGATGGGAGAGGGATTTCATGGCTAATAATCATGGGAGAGGAAGGGGATTGGTATCTTCTGGTAATGAGAGGAAAGAGGTTTACGTCTAATGGTGATAGGAGAGGGATTATGCCTAATGGTGGTGTTAGAGGGAGGGGATGATACCCAGTTATAGTCGACGAGGGCCCTCCTTTTTGTATCATCCCACTCCATCTTCCATCACCATTAGTCGTCACCCCCTCTTCCTCCTATCACCATCAAGCATCACCCCCTCTCTCTCCCATCAACAATAGGCATCACCCTACACCTCTCTCACCACTATTTGGCAGCCATTACTCCTTCCCTTTGCCACCAGAACTCCGCATCCCCCCCCCCCCTCCATCTCCCATCTGCCAGCAGAGGAGAGAGCGAGGCTCAGGGAGAATGCTGTAGGCAGGAATAGAAATGGGTTTACTAGGGGTTTTAAAGGGGGAGAGGGTGATTCCTAACAGTGATGGGAGTGGGAGGGAATATAATTCCTAATAGTGAGGGTAGTGGGAGGCGAGATGTGCTATGGTGGTGGGAGAGGGTGATTGCTAATGGTGATGGGAGTGGGAAGGAATATAATTCCTAATAGTGAGGGTAGTGGGAGGCGAGATGCGCTATGGTGGTGGGAGAGGGATGATTGCTAATGGTGGTGGAGGTGGTGCCTAGTGATGAAGTGAGAAGGAGGTGGGGTGGTGCCTAGAGGTGATGGGAGAGGATGATACCAAGTGGTGTTGGAAGAGGGAGGAGGGTGATTCCTCATGGTGGTGTTTACATCATCATGAGGTATCACCCCTTCCTTCTCTCATCATCATAAGGCATCACCCTGCTAACTCCTATCACCATTAGGCATCACCAAACAGCAGTCTCCATTAGGCATCACAACAATCCCACCGCCATTGGGATTTACCACTTTCCTAACGCTAATATTAGGCTAGCTTCTCTCTGTCCTACAATTAGCAGCATAAGCAGCCATTCTCACCTCCTCTTACCATCTACGTAACCATATAGCAGACTCCAGCACAGCCTCACGGCTGGCATCTTCTAAGCTCAAGCGGGTTTTTGCTTGCTCCCCCTGTTGCCTGCTGGATAGCGAGTGCACGGGTGGTTCAGGTGGGGTTGGCTGTCGCGCTGTGCGAACCTGCAGCCAGTCCTGCAAGCTGTCACCAGTGGATCCAAGGGGGAGCACCAGGACAAATGCCCCCCTCCTCCCCCCCCCACACACCCGAGAAGCCAATAAGCGATTTGATGGCTAGGGAGGATCATGGCAAGTGCCATTTATTGTCTGGCCATTAGGGGAAATGGCTACAAATTGATTTTTTGCCTTCTTTTGGGTCAACATCATAAAAGAATGGGTTTCAATGTTGAATTTAATGGACTCTAGTCTTTTTTTAACCTAGACTACTCTGTAACTATACAAGCTGAATGGCAATCAATTGCTCAGAGCGCTAGGCTAACCAACCCTCTGGTTACAGTGTTTAGATAGCTCATTTAATTTAATGTATAGAAATCGAGTAATTGAACAGTGAATATAAATAAAAATCTCACTCACTGACACAGATACACAATTAGTCCACAAACGTAGGCCACTGAGTCCTCTACTCCCTCCCAACCCCTTCCACCAGATGTTTTGTTTAGATGGTAAAAGGTAGTAATTTTATGGGCAGGTGTTGATGATAGGAATAATGCTGCTTGCTTTACTTCCAAGATTTCCTCCTTGTTTGTGAGAAGTCCAGGTACTGTAACCCTGCTCTCCTGATGCTGAGAGTCAATGGGACCTCTAGAAGAGAAAGCAATGTCCATGCCTCTCTCCTTGGGTGTCCAGGATCAGATGTCCCTATGGAAAGTGAACAGGTGACATCAGAAAGCCCTTCTAGGAGCAGATAGGACACATCTGAGGTGTAGAATCAGAAGGGGCACTTTTTGCAATTGTAACAAGATCTTGACATGCCCAGTTGTTCTTTATAGTTTGTCCAGACTGTCATCAACCAAAGGAGGGGAGGCTGGAAAACTGTTATCATTCCAGATATACTACACAGCTTTTTTTTCAAAGTCTCACATTTTTATCAAGTCTAGATTTATGGGGTTTTTTCATGAACATTTTTCAGTCAAACTTCCCCAGAAAACACATGTTTTCATTTTCCCTAAACTACCCTCTCCTCACCATCTTTACTTTTAATATTGTTGAAAATTGCAAATAAACAACTTAAAAAACAAACTATGAACATCTCAGTAGTCCTCTCCACTGCCAACAGTTTGGGTTTTAAAAATGATTTTGAAAAATTGGTGAAACACTGACCAAAGTACTGCTACGGATGAACCTCTGTTGGAGTTAGTTGAAGTTATCAATGAATTAAGTATCCACCCTGCAAACCGCGGATCAGAGAATTTCATCTGACAGTAAAACGGTAGGTAGCCATATATTATTTTTATAATCAGTCTGTAAGAATTTATTTTTAGGTCATATTTTTTTTTGCTTTTCACTCTATTTGGTTAAAATGTGACATTTTTATTTAATAATGGGTTACTCCAACCAAAATCCAGTGTTTTCATAAAGCACTGGTTTTAGTTGGAGTAACTCTTTATGTGGTTGTCCGCAACTGCCCCAAACGCCCCCCCCCCAAAAAAAAAAATCTATAAACTTAACCTTTTTCCTTCACCTAGAGCAACTTTATTCCCAGCCCAATCTTCCTCGACTTACATCATTGGAGCGGCATGGAATGTGGACATGATGCCATTGGCTGTCTGACGCCAGCATGGTGTACGTACTGCCATCAGACCCCCATTTTGCACAGAATTGATATTAGCGAGCCCAATTCTATTGTTCTCAGCTGGCTAATGACACCCCATATGTATGTGCAGCATTTCATAGCATTTCAACTCTACACTTACAGACTCCAAGCACCATGACCACTTTAAATCACTGCAGTGGTCATGGTAGTTGGAGTAAACCATTAAAGCACAGTTCTCCAGCTCTCTGCATAGTATCATATTATGCTATTACTCAAGCATTATGTTTGTCTTATCCTTGGGTAATACAGAACCTGTCTGACACTCATCTGGCTCTGTAATGTAAGTCAGGAATGTAGGTGGTAACACATTATATTTTTATAAAAGAGCAGAAGTATTTAAGGTCTTTTTACCTCCCATTATTAATTTACTATTATTGCATATATGGCTATTTTAATATTTTTTTCTCTTTATTCTACTTAAATGTGTCGACCTTCAACAAAACCTTGAAGTTTTCCTGTTCTCTCTGACATTTTAAATGCATGACATCATATTTACGTTGCACTTTCAATGTTATAGATTTATCATTACACGCAAGGGTTTGTTTATACTTTATTTGTCTCTTTGCAGTTAATTCAAGTATGAACCCCAGCACCGATCATCAATACTAATCTCATCCCGAATTATTCATCTAAAATGGACGTATTACAGGTTACAGATTTCTCCAAGTCTGACTTTTGTCTCAGCTATTGGTTTACGACCGTTGGCTTCCTATCAGCATCTATCGCTTTGTGGATTCTTCTCAACATTGTGACTCTCGCAGCAACAGAGTATTAACTGTCTGATTCTATAATATTGTATCGCCTGCTAACAACAACAACAAAAAAAAGATTTAAAAAAAAGATTTAATTTATAAAGTGCAGAATGTTACCCAAAGAACCCCAGTCCGCCTCGCGTACAGGAAATAACAGGTGCCTTGACACTTATGTTTTCAGTATGCTATGGACGCACGGGATCCGTTGAACCTTTTATTTTTCACATTCTATTGTGATGTATCATTTCTATAATATTTAATAAATAAATAAAATTATATTGGAATAAAATGTAAGTTCATTTTTCCTTTTCAAACACTGGACATCTGTAGCTGTATATGAGAAAGATTAGAAATACAAGCAGTGTGCACTTGGGAAATGTTCACTGTAGGCATTTTCAATATTTGCTGTAGATACAATGGTCGGACGATCTGAGCAGAGGAAGAGTTTTTTACTTTACTTACAGAATAGCAATATTCCTATAGACTTCAATGGAGGATTTCCTATTCAGTATGTAGATTAAACCCTTACTCTGCTATCAGTATCCAGCCCAGTAAGATTACGTTATTTGTAATAGGTTTTATTTAAAAATAAGCTTATTGTCATGTTGTGGATCAAACAAAGTGTTTGTTTATTTGAGTATCTGCTCCCTTCCAAATTGTTAAAATAAATGCGTGCACGCAGAATTAGCGGCAAAACATCTTTCTTGGTTTGAACCAAAGATCACGGTTCTCACTGATGTCGCCTCGGAGGTGCCCAATAGAGGATTTGAACCTGAGTACGCTGCAGGCCTGGGGCTGTTGTTTTGCCTCTGAGCCACCATACAGCTCAAG